GCAATGATCCGTTTGAGATGGACTGGGGCAATCGAACTTGTTGCACCTTGAAAAATAAATTCTGTGTCCTTACTTGGGAGAGCTGGGTGGGCGAAAAAGTTCAATAATTGTGATGTTGTTGTACTTTTCAGATGGTTCACTATCTGGCTGTTTATAAGTGGCATTTGTTTGTATCATTTTTACAAAAATACTTTTAAAATCCCATCTCTATCACCACTTATTAACATTGGATGTGGAAATTCTGTAATTGCTAAATCTGTTATACAGTCTAAATGATTTTTAAGTATTTGTTGTTGTTGAATTGCCGATAATTGGCTTGGATTATAATTATATTTATGTGCATTAGAATTTTTGTTATGATTACTATTATTACTGCGACCACTTGAGAAACTGCTACTATGAGAATGTGATGATGATGAATGTGAACTTGTTGAATTAGAATTACGAAATAAATTTTGTGTTTCATAATAAAATTTAATTCCGTCAAATTGTTTTGCACTATATAAAAATGAATTAATAAAAGATCTTATTTAGAAATTAAATACGACATTAACTTTAAAAGTAAAATTACCTATACACTGGTTTACTTTCGGAAATATCAGAACCGGCAATAATATATGAATCCTTAATATTAGCATTATCCCAAAATCTTATTTTACGATCCGATCCTGCAGTTATAATGAAATTGCATTCTTGTGGATAAAGAACTGCTCTAACGGAATGATCTACAGAAATACTTTTTTCATTGGCTGTAAACGCATTTCTCAATATATCGCTTGACTCAGGTGGATCAAGAGCCTAAAAAGAGGGTTTAAAAAAAATCATATGTATGTATATATATGTGTGATTAATCTCATAATAAACACGCACTTGTATATATTTAATAATGAAAAATTAATTATTACCTTAAACATATCTAAAGTCACTCCGCCCATTTTTTCATCTGTGATTACACCAAATGCTTCCTTACATGCGATTTTCTCTATATCCCAAATTGATATTTCATTTTTACCTGCTGAGACAACTACCCACGCTCTACCAGTCATTGCTTGTGGATGTATTAATAATCTGCTTATTCTACTTTTACTAGGATGTGTCCATGAACGCAGTTGGATTCTAAATCTAAGATCCCAAAGTGTTAGAATACCGCGTGAAGTACCAGTAAGAAGCCATCTGAATTTTTTATCTAAAACCATTGCCGTGATCACTCCATAACTTCTAGGATTTGTAAAAGTCCAAACAACTTCCATTGTTCTCAAATCTAAACCACAAATATTACCTTTAGAAGTCGCATATAACAGTATAGAATCGGTACCGGACTCATAATGTTCCATTGCTACAGCATATTCTCCTACTTCTCCGTTCAACTGGGTTTTTCTTATTATTTGTGCTTTACCATATTTCAAGGGAGTGCTGCCAGTAAAACATTCTACACGAAATATATGAATACTACCATTATCTGATGCTGATGCAATACTGTGTGTACGATCAATAAAAGTCATACATTTGACTTTCCCTTTATATATAAAGGAAATCAGATAATATTAAAAAAAATTTATAAATGATATTATCAAATAAATAAATTATAATTACCTTTTTGTATATGCGTGATTCTTGAACGACAGTTAAAGGTTATAAATCTACCACAATCCCATATTCTTACAGTTCCGTCATCTGAACAAGTCGCAACAAAATTATGATCAGGTGAAACCCGTATTTGATTGATAGAAGCTTTATGTTCAGTGATATGAGCAACCAATGTACCTGTGTATTTATTAACACAAACGATTTTAAGCATTAAAAAACCATATTTTTATATCGACATAATAAATATAATTAATATTATTATTATTACCATCGGGTCTCCAACTTGCTATGGTTTTAATTTGACCTGTACCTTTAGAGCCTTTTCCAACTATTGCTTTTGTGACACTAGGACCAAATTCTATTCAATATTTTTATTTATAATTAAAAAAAAAATAATAGTATAAATTAATATGTTTTTTTTGTTGCGCTCTTTTTTTTTTCATTGAATATAATTATATACCTGGCATAGGTTCAGAAAAATATTTAATATACAATGAATCTAATAAATTTTTAACATTACGATCATTGCCCTCTAAAAATAAAAGTGATAATATTATTAGTGATGTTAAAAAATGATAAAAGCCTCAGACCCATTCAAAAAAAAAAAAAATATATATAAAAAATATTATTATTAAAAATTATAATTTCATACCGTATGTATTAGAAACAAATTGTTCAAGATTTTTTCGTTTATTTGTCGTTGTTGTTGTTGATAATTCAGAATTAGTAAGATCAGATGGTAATAAATTTGTGGTGGATGTTCTAGGAGTACTCGTTGATTCCAGTAGTAAGGATACTTTGCTGCTTTTTCCACTTGAATTAGGATAAATACTGAAATATATAACAAAATAAAAAGTGAGTTTAAAATAGGAAGGAAAAAAAATCGAGTAATAACGATAATAATAATTACTTACTTTGGCGTACCAATAATGTTCTGATATTAATTTTTTTTTATAAAATGAATAATTTTAAAATATCTTTTCTTGGAATTTCCTAAATTTCTCATCAATACCTGAGGATTTTAATTTAATATAATTTAATCCTAGATTTTAAATTTAATTCTGCCAAAAAATATATATATATCGATAAACTATACAAGATTTTTTTTCTTGATTTATTGTTTAAACTTACATGGAAAATAAGAGCCAAATCTTGCTGCTCTATTTATCCAATCTATAAAATTACACGATATACAATTTATTAATCATGCATTAGAAAGAGGGAGGGAAAACAGTATATGTAAATAATATTGGTTTCTTACTTGGTGCAGCTTTGCCAACTAATTTCAGACACAATTCATTTGTGAAATGATTGCAATTCCTGTTATTTATCATTACCGTTATCGTTATCCATTATTTAAATACTATTTTATTGTTTTAATTATTCAGAAATTAATACCTTGTTAACAATTGATAAGTGTTTCCTTTCCATTCTTCGGATAACTCATCAATAATATTTATGATTTCTTCTTTATCATAGTCACTATACCCAACTAAAATAGAATCCCTATTAAAAAAATAATAATAATAACAGTAAATTATTATAGTTGCAATGATAATGTGGTGGATGCATCATATTATATTAAGTTATATGCATTATATTATATGGTTACCTATAGGTGACATTTGGTGGGCCAACTCTTGGAGGTAATTCAAATATTCCAGTACACTCATCATCACTTCCACCAAAATTATATTCTAAATGTCACATAATTAAAACCTTTAAAATCGTTTATAATGATTATTATAAGGGTTTTTATAATCAATTAATATACCTCTCCCTAATATTTCTACTCCAGAATGAAATACCCCTAATAAATAAATAAAATTTATTATTATTTATTAATTTATATTAATTAATTATTCACTTATTGCTAATTATTATATTTATATCGTTTGTTACCAATTCCACATTTATATCCAAATTCTGTAATGGTTTTTTTTGGCAACTTCAAAATAAATAATAAAAAAAGGATTATTATAATTGAAAGTAATTCACAATATACATTATATATAATTTATGTTTACACTTTACCATATCATACACATTCACATACACCTTAATGACAAATAATAATTAATAAATAATAAATTAAATTTTCAAAGTTAATGTCTCATTCTTTACCGGAATTTGATTTTCATTGTACAAAGATGTTGATGAATTTGAATCATCGAAAATGCAAAATAAACAATTCATTTTTATTCTAATATTTCCAATAATGACAATTATGATTTATTATAACGACAGTGATTATGAATTCTAGAGTTTATTATTATTATTATTATTATTATTATTATTATTTGTGTACACGTAAAATAATAATAAAAATACTCGGCACTCAATTTTTGTGATACAAAGTGAGCATGAATTCCGCAGCTTCTAAAACTTTATTTTTTACAATGACTTAAACTAATAATAATACATGTATAATTAAATAATATTTAAAATAATGAAAAAACAATTGCCTTTTTTTTTCTGTGGATATTTATTCAACATCCAATCCATCCATTGTTGTATTTTTTTGAGATTGATCATCTTGGAATTGTTCAGTGTCTTTAGACGATATTTCTATTTGATCAAGAGATTTTTGAATGGATGATTGTGATCGTATTAGTCCTTGTTGAGGATGATACTGTATTTATTGTTGTGGTGGTGGTGATGGTGTTTGTGGTTGTTTTAATTTTTGTTGTTGTGAATAAATTTGAGTTGGAGGAACTTTAGGAAAATTCATTCTGTTGGTGAAAAGACCTTTAATGCTTCTGATTTCTTTTTTAATTTGGGATGCATCAAGATCCTTATCTATCATTAATCCTGATGGAGTATTTATCGTGCTTGAAAGATATGTAACTAGGGAACCTAACGAGTCTTGAATTTCGTTTATCTCTTCTTTTGGATTTTCAAATTCTTGATGAGCTTTCAATTTTTCTGCCATGCTTGTTAAATCCGTTGAAAGTGTCGTAAGCAAAGAAGGTTCTAAAGAAGATGTTGTTGATGACGTGGAAAATTTTAACGATAAAATTTCGCTAGTATCTTTGCCTAATTCTGTAGATTTGTCATCATCATCATCATCATCATCACCATCATCATCATCGTCGTCGTTGTCGTCGTCGTCGTCGTCATCTTTAATATTTATTTCCCGAGAATTCTCAATAATAAATTTATTAGTTTTAGTTTTAGGATATATTAATCTCTTCAATGACTCAAATGATGCAAGATTCTCATTAAATTTTTTAAATAGATCGAGTTGATGTGAAAATAATTGTTGTTTGGCACTAATTATGGAATTAATGTATGAAACAACATATTTCTATAATGTGTTATGCATAACAAGATGATAAAATTAGCCTTTAAAGAACCTCGTGATAAAATAAATAAATTTAAGGATCATTATTCAAATTTAATTTGCCTTGATAAAAGTAATCAAGCAAAGAAGGTTCTAAAGAAGATGTTGTTGATGACGTGGAAAATTTTAACGATAAAATTTCGCTAGTATCTTTGCCTAATTCTGTAGATTTGTCATCATCATCATCATCATCATCACCATCATCATCATCGTCGTCGTTGTCGTCGTCGTCGTCGTCATCTTTAATATTTATTTCCCGAGAATTCTCAATAATAAATTTATTAGTTTTAGTTTTAGGATATATTAATCTCTTCAATGACTCAAATGATGCAAGATTCTCATTAAATTTTTTAAATAGATCGAGTTGATGTGAAAATAATTGTTGTTTGGCACTAATTATGGAATTAATGTATGAAACAACATATTTCTATAATGTGTTATGCATAACAAGATGATAAAATTAGCCTTTAAAGAACCTCGTGATAAAATAAATAAATTTAAGGATCATTATTCAAATTTAATTTGCCTTGATAAAAGTAATCATGATGACACTAAAAGCACCAGTGATCATTGACACGATAATTAGTTGCTGCCATAAAGGTCTTCTCCTAGCAACAATAACATCACTATTAGTTGAAGAAGGTTGCTGTGGATATGTACGTGGTGGTATTGCAGGTGGTGTGGTTGGAGAATTTGATGATGTAGCTTCTAAAACAGGCTTGTTTGGAATTTTCTATATTCATGTTATAATAAACTGCTATAGAATAAATTGTATATAAAACCTCGCTTGTGACATGACCCTTACATTTACCTGGTTTTCTATATTTGCATTACTTTCATCATCGTTCACAATTTTTTCTGATTCTGATATTGCTGCTACTTTACCCATTTCTTGTTTAAATTTTTTTGTTTGTAGACATGTGAGAAACGTAAACAACATCAACATACATGCATATTTATGTCGAAGTGAGTAACACTACATTTGTTTACATATTTTCTAAATTAATTTAAAATCCTAAAAATTAAAAAAAAAATATTATACTGACAAAATTTTTTGATAATGGATCCGCTTCTTTTCACCACTCCTGCTAAAATTCGTGTGCTTCTTGTTCCAGTTCATCCAATTAAAGCACAAGTGTTTCATAAACATGTCGAATTAGTTAGAAAATTTAATGTAGTCAAACTTGGTGATGTTACTCCTGACATGCGTAGTGTTCAATGTATGTGTGTAAAGCTTTTATAGATCAATCATGATCTATCTACACACTTTAATTGAAAAATTGAATTAGATTCATTCCATTTTAATTACCTGTATAATGGTTTAATGGTTTATCATGTTAAAATTTTATTACAGCAATGTTTAGCTCACAACTTTTTCATGAAGGACAACTGCATTTTAATTTTGTGACTTCTTACGAGCCGGAACATTCATACCTTGAAGAATTTCAAATGCATCGAAGAATTTTTGGGGTACTTGAATCAAAATTTTTTTACTATATTGAATTTATGTTATACTGTTATTTATACACGTATTATAAATATATTATCTAGGTAATTGGGATAATGGATTGTCGTGAATGGCAGAGTTTGCCAGATGGATATAAGAAATTTTGTGAAATACTAAAAAATGTAAGTGTATAATTAAAATTTAATAAAAATTATTTGTTATAATATTTTTTTAAAAAAAGTTATATTTGAAATATATTTATTTATTGATTTAAAATTAAAATTAAAATTAATCACAAGTATCCAACAGCTATTGCACATAGATGTTTTGCATTTGATCCTTTTGATCATCAACCAGATGATACTAAGGGACTAATTATGTTTCCTGATGTTGGAAATATGACTTTTTATATGACTACCATGATTTCAGATTTTGCAAATAATATTCTCACAGAATTCGGTACTTTGGTAATTGTTTAATTTATTAACGACTATATTATTATAACTATTATGATCATTGTCAAATGTATGCAAATCATATAATTAATTCATTAAAATTAATTTTTTTAGGCATCAGCTATTGAATCAAAAAATGTTATTCATTCTCCAAAAATTCCAACAGAAAATTCAAATCCATCACAAAACGGAAATAGCACAGTAAACGGTCATGGCAAGTTTTCTTCACCATCACACTCATTTTCTTCACCAGAATTGAATGTACCAACGATACCTTCTCTACTAACTCTAACACCACCTTCCCAAGCAATGACAACAGCTGGAATGGGTGGGACGTCTGTTGGTGCTAATCCTAGTAATCCGTTTCATGGCAGGTCATTTTCCTCATCAAATCTTGTCAGTTTTGCAACTCAAGCTGCTAATGCAACTAGCACTGTTACTGACATGAAACTTAAAAGAAGATCTCAAGGAAGAATTCAGAAATTGATTGCCGATTTGTATTTAATGGCTGGAAGATTACCAGATGCTGTTTCAAAGTATACCGATTTTTATTTTTACTTGTGTATATATATATATATATATATACCTATTCTGAAAAATTTGAATTTTTTATTTTATTAATATTTTCTACTAATTCATATATATATATATATATATATATATATATGTATATGTGATTTGATATTAATAAAGTTATTCTCTTGCAATTGATACAACAAAGGCAAATGGTGATTATTTATGGCATGGCTCAGCATTAGAAGGGTTGTGTGTTGGGTTGATTCTTTCTGCATATTTGCATTCAGATGTTGGGGTAATTTTTTCAAGAAGCTTCGACTTTTTTATTTTTATTTTCAATGTATTTATCAAGATTTCATGATTAATTACAAATAGTCACATCTTATTCAATCTCCACCTTCTCCAAGTCAAACCGCACCTACAATTTCTCCAACTCCCAACGCCTCCCCTGCGACTGGTGCTCCTCCTGTTACCGAACCACCAAAAGATTTATGGGCGCACATAACTGACAAATACGTTACAGTGCTTACTTTGTATGCAAAAACTTCTAGTTCTAACAATAATCAAGTTCCTCCATTAATTTATGCCGAAGCATGTTTAAAAGTCGCTAAAATGTTGTCCTGTATTTGGGTGGTTGGTGGTTGGGGCGATGAAGCATTGAGGTTGATTGTTCACGGAGGTGTTCCAGAACCTCAATTAAGTGAAAAATGGGGATTAAGTATTGTTAGTGGTATTTCAAAGATTGAAATTACTCAATGGGCTGTGAAAGGTTATGGGTCTTATGTTGAAGATATGTCTATTACTGAACAGGTAAGATTTCAAAATTTTTTTTTTTCAAAAAAAGCCCCTATTATTAGTATAAATTTAATTAATAATAACTGCAATATAATTGATTTTTATAGATTTATATTGCTACCAATTTATCAGCCATTTTTTCAATAATAAATTTTCGTCGGAAACACGCATTTTTCCTTCGACAAACATCCTTATTGATTTTACCACTTCTTAAACAACGTATTGGCGCACCGAATAAATCACCGTTTTCTAATGAAGCTGGTTTATTGATATGTTTAAAAAAAGTAGCCGAAGTATTTGGAGTAGGAGGTACTATTCTATTTAATTGAATTGCTTTGTTATGTTTATTATAGTTGAAAATTTTTTTTAATTTACTTATTATTATCATTAGTGTTGATTAGATAAATATATTCATGAACACTGTTTATTACACTTTATTTTTATTAGATTCGATTGATCATGTTGATTATTCGAATGTAGTAGAAGATGCAAGACCTCTTTCATTTGGATGGCCAGATATTCAAATTGATGTGTTGAAAGATGCAATCTCTGTAACAGAAGCTCTTCCAGGTATATTCTAACATATTTATTATTAATAATTAGATATTTATAAATTAATGTTTTTTTTTTATTAAAAAAAAAAAGATTATAATTCTATGATGAAATATACAACAAGATTATTGCGAAAACTTTTCATGTATTTATCGAGAGATGAACAACTTCGTTTGTCAGGTTTATTACCACGAATTGTTAGTGCTGGCAAAAAGCAGGGATTACCAATGGAATTTAAATATTGGGGATTGAATATTGTAAAGGGTATCCAAGTGTGTCAGTAAGTGTATTATTTAATGAATTACTAATGGATCCAAACTCTTTTTAATAATTATTAACGATTTGTGTATTTAATAATAACTGATTTTTTAATTGATTTTTTAGACCTACTACTAGAAGGATACCTTATCCACATCCTGGGAAAAAAAGATTACCAAAAAATGAAGATCTCGAATCGAAAGATAATTCAAGTCCGTTTATATATCAATCTTTCAATAAAAAGAAAGAAGAAGCCGTCCAGGTAATTTGATATTACGTTTTATTTATAGAAAGAATTTTTTCTAATCACTAGTTAATAATTAATTCTATTGTAAATATTGAAATATTGATTAGACACACTTAGTTGCAAATGAAACAGCATATTTTCTAGTCACCTTGGCAAATCCATTTGCATTTGATTTAGAAATTCAAAGTATAACTGTTAGGTTTGAAGATTTTATGATTATTATATTATTATTAGAAATACGATTATTTTTTAAAAAATTAAAATAAAATTTAAATATCTTAGTACTGACGGAGTAGCATTTAAACCAAATCCAATGTCGACAACAGTAACAGCTAATACATCAGTAACTTTACGTGTTTCTGGTACACCTACAGAACCTGGTGATTTGGTTGTTAGAGGATGTAAAGTTAAAGTTCATGGTTGTTTGGAGCAGGAATTTTGTGTATATTTACCTAGAAATGAGGAAGAAACCAGAAAAAAGGAAAGAGAGGAAGAACATAGTAAAAGAATTAAAAAATGGTCTGTGAATAAAATAAAAATAAAAATTAAATAAATTTGTTTGTTTGTTGATTGATTGTTGAGAAAAACTTTTATATTTATAGTGGATTAGCAGTGATTAATCGATCAATTCAACATCATAGAGGTAATTAATTAATCATATTAATGTTATGAATTCAAAAAAATAGAAATCAAATAAAAATCATTTTATTCCTTTTTCCTATTATAGAAAAGTCAAAAGCTTCGACAGTTGATGGGGTCGACCTTTTAGCAGATTTCTTAAAAGTTGTTGTTATAATGGAACAGCCATTGGTTAAAATTAAATCTACATCTTTGATGCACGGAGCTGTGATGCTTTTTGAGGGAGAAAAGTAATGAACCAAATTTTTGTCAATCATGTAAAAAAATTTATTTAAACCAAATATTAATTAACATGTAAAATTTTTTTTAAGAACTGAAATGACAATGAAATTAGAAAATGTTGGTAAAACACCGGTAGATTATATTAGTATATCATTTCATGATTCAACTATTGCTGATGCACAGGCAATTTTGAATTCATCGGATATTCCAGCAGAAGAGGCATATGAAATGGAATTATATGCTCATAAACAACCAGTATTTTTCTGGGAACAAACAGACAAAGAATTAAACATCTCACCGGGAAATGAGTGGATTCTTAATCTTAATGTGTTTGGAAAACGTGGATGGTAAATCTCTCGTATTTACAAATAGTATATTGCGATGTTAAGTTTATTAAAATATTAATAATAGTTTCTTTATATTTTGTTTTTAAAGCATTAATGGCACAATACAAATAGATTATGGGTATCTTAATAGATTAAATTCATCATGCGATGAAGTTTTTTATACTAGACAAGTTTATTATCAAGTTTTATTAACAATTCACCAGAATCTTGAATCAGTTTCAATGGACATTTTAAGTTTCAAGCCATTAAATATTCCACCAATTGATTCTTCAAAAAATTTAATGATATCATCGCCATCAAATAGCAATGATCAAATTGTTAATGGCACAATAACAACATCAGTTGCAAGTGGAGAAGATCAAAGGAATAAAAGAGTTGAAGAGTTAATAAAAAATATAAAATGGAAAAATGTGGCGGTAGATAATTTTTTGGAAAGGATGGAAAATGAATATTGTCTATTAACATTTGATATAAGAAATGTTTGGCATACAGCATTTGATGTAACAATTGACGTAAATGAAGGTATTTTGGAATTTTTGTGATTTTATATTTTTGCAATAATAGTTTCAGAGTAATTTATGAAATTTTAATTTAATTATTTTTATATTATTATTAGATGATGATGAGAGTGAAAATTTATCTGTCTCAACTACTATTCAACCAGCAGCCACAGGAAGGTAAATAATGAAAATCTTAATAAGAAAAGAAGACATTAACTTTAAATAATTTATAATTTCCATATTTTTTTTAGGATTGTAATACCTATTAAGAAAATCTTATTATCAGAAAAAGAATATACACAACAAATACCTTCATTATTTGAAAAGCAATTTGTCGTATCAAAAGGACCAAAAAATAGTGTAGAACAAGAAAAGTTACAATTAGCATTATTTTGGTACAGAGAAAAATTATTACAAAAAGTAAAAGCTACCTGGGAATGTGTATCCTTGATCATTATTTTTGAATTATTTTCAAACTATTTTCGAATTTTTCATCTTTAACTCAAAAAAAAATTTTAATTTTAAAATTACAGCTTTTAACTAATCAAAGAGGAACTGTTGATATAAGATCACTAAGACTTAATAAATCAATGTTAAATGTATTAAAAATAAATGAAATTTCATACGGAATTGACATTGTAAATTCTTCAAAAGTTATAAAATTATCACCAAGCCAGTTTAAATGTCCTGTTAATGAATTTGTAAAATTAAAATTTGTCATTTATAATAATCAAGGTATTTTTATTTTATTAATATAAATAATCATGATAATATATTATTAATATTATTGCTTGCAAATATTTTCATAGATAAACCATGTAAATTATGTATAAGAATTCAACCTGTACAAAGTTATACTGATGGAGTGATGGAATGGGATTTATCTAGAAGAATGGTATGGAATGGATTATTACAAACACCATTACCAAAGGTATTTGCTTATTTTTAATTAATAAAAAAATTTTAATAGATTAATTCTAATATTAATTACAACAACGTTTATGTGCATTTAGATTGAACCAAAATCTTCAGTGGTGTTTTCTTTACCGATTTGTTTCTTCTCTAGAGGCGACTTTAAATTTTTATATCACTGTGAAGATGTTCACACAAGAGCTACATATTTTGATAGTCAACCATTATATGTTGAAGTCATAGATGAATAATAACAATAGTAATTATAAATGTAATAGTAATAACGATAGTAACATTATTTTAGCAAATAACTTGGAATTTTTAATTTATTTTATTTATTTAAATTAAATTTAATTTATTTATAATCAATGTATTCAAAAAATATTATTAATAAATTTTCACAATAGAGATTGATGATTGTTTTCAATATAACATACTTCCAATTTAAACTCATATTTACCTGCTTCAAGATGAAGATGCAAACAGGACCCCGAGCAATTAATGTATAGGTCAGAGGAAGGCGAAAATTTGTTATAATAGCTCCCTATGCATGGGTTTTTACTAATATCAATACGCATCTTTGGAACCTAACTTTAAAAATTTATCTAAAATAATTAACCATTTGACCTTTAATAAATAAATCATGAATTCCACTCATCATCTGTATCGTCATCTTCTTCATTAGGTTAATTTTTAGCAGGTTTAAATTGAACTTTGACTTTACAACCAAAGCTTCAATATGTCGATTTAGGTAATCATCTTCCCCTTTTTAGGCCCAGCTTAATAACTTCACCATATATACATATCACCTTTTTTGGGTGAATAATATGTTTTATTTACTATATTTCCACTGGAACATAGATATCAAAAAAGAGAAAATTTATAAACCAGATTTTGAGTTAGGCGTCGCCAGAACGTGGCATAAAAAATTGATATCTATATTCAGCTTCAATCCACGCGACTGTACAATCCTGTACATGTATATACGAATGGTATAAAAAATATGATATCTAATGTCGGCTTTAATTCGCCCAAAGAGCACGATTTGTACGTGTACAAATTTGGTGCAAAAATAGCCTTGAAAGTTGGGCCAAACATGGTGTAAAAAAATGCTTCCAGAACACTTGCTGTGAAAAAAGTGTGAACATTTTTTCCCAAATATAAAATACACGATCACGTGATTATTGTGAACCAGCCGGTTTTACGTGATAATAAAATACGACTTTCAATCAAATGATTGTAATAATAAATCGTTGTTTAGAGATACAAAATCATAATAGGAGTAAGGAGTATATCAATATGAAAAGAGTTTTTGGAGATCTTCGTATGATTTAAATGTTTACTTAATGAAGTTATACAAGTCACATTATTTATACTGCTTCAAAGAGATATAAATACACTTGGTTTTAGACCAAGTTAAAGGCAATGTTCATAATAACATAATAATTTACTAATAATTTCCTAACATCTAATAATTATGCATAAATAGTCTTTGGCTGTAATTAACTAATAAACCCAGCATGATTGATTCCCAGCCCTTTCTAATGATTAGTGGTCTGTCCAACCTTTAATTATTAGTTGGGAACCCTTTTAATTATTGAACATATTGCCAAGGGGACGCCTTTGGAATATAAATGGATACACCAACTTAGGGATCTTTTATCTAGACTTCGGGTTGTAAGATAAAAGAGTTATTGGCTGTAAATAGGAGGTTCTAGGAAAACTAGACATGTGTTGATATCTAGACTTAGTATCAATAGGTATAATTATGGGCTGCAAATCGGGGACAAAGTAAGACCAACCATGTGCCAACATAAGAAATACCTAATAAGTAAGTAACTCAGATTGCACACTCACACTACTAAATTACATATAAACACACTACCTATTGATGACACTAATATTTAATCAATTTATTTATTATTTTGAATAATTCAATAAAGTCCAATAGCAAGTATTAGCATGTTCTTAATTTAATTTAGTATTACTTTATTTAGAGCAGAATAATTGAAAAAAAAAACTCCAAGACATTTGAACTAGTGGCAAGCATGCCAAATACTCATGGTTTAAACTTACATTGATTTGCTAATAGTCAAAATAAAAAAAGTTCAACATAATTTGTTAGATAATATTGACAATATATAAAATAATGAAACAAAAATAACAAATCTATATCTTTCTAAAAAGAAAATTGAAGTTTTATTATTCTAAGGATTAGTGCTACCAGTCTAACACTTATAATTAGTCTTTTAATTAAAGAAAGAAAATGTGTAAAGGTTAACTCATCTATGTAAATGTACAGTAATATGATTGTCATATTGCATCATAGAAATGTATGAACTTTGTACACTCAAGATGCATTTAAATAAATCTTTGTTCTTATAAATAATCCTAAATTATGTTGTTGAAGCATTACCAGTTCACTTATTTTCAGATAAAAAATTCAAATAAAAATTAAGCAATTTAATCTGTATAATTAATCATTGATTTCCTTTTTTTTTCTTTGGTGGGATGTACTTTGGTAAAATTTCTATTTCTGAACTTCATTTAATGATTTGCTTTGAAGGTGATGTTTTAAATTCCTCTTCAATCTCAAGTGCATCGGATAAAGATCTTAAGTTTTTGTCTAGAAGATACTAAAAAAATATCAAAATGAATATAAACATAGCCAACAAATTTATTTTAAATTTAATGAAATTAAATTGCTTACTCTAATTTTGACAAAGGTTTTCAATGCTTCATATCAGGGTTGGCAAATTGACTGGTCCATTAAGAACTGATGGACTTTGGACTGGTCCACTGTCATTAATAAAATACTAAATATAATTGAATGTTACACTAATGGACCCAATGGATCACCAATGGCTATACATTTGCCAACTCTGCTTCATACATAGGATTAAAATCAATAAATTTATTTGAAAGTGAAGGTTTCCCTATATTTTGTGATATGTATAGTTTTGTCATGATTAAAAATAAAATTTATAGTAAATTCTTATTAAACTCATTACTATTTCTAAAATTTAACACTTGAAACTATCAAGGAGTATATATTTATGTCTTTAGTTCTGCACTTATTATGTTTGGAAGGGAAGTTTCAATGAAATATAGCATATCATGCATTTCAATGCAAGATTTAAATTCACCATTAGAATTCTTAGTTACAATTATACTGTCTTTTGCTTGTTCTACAATTTTTATGTCAGGTCTTTACACTTTTAAGACTTCAGAATTTAAAGGCTTAAAGTCATTTTTATGTTTTTTGTTGGCTATTAGCTCACTAATTAAATAAAATTTTGTATAAAATTTTACAATAGCAAGATATGCCTTTGACAACTAACAGCATAAATTTCATAATCATAAAACAAACCATGAACTAATTCATTTTCTTCATAATTTTCTAAGCCTAATTCTATCAAATCATATGTTGATCTTATATTTGACACACTATCAAATCAGCTAAAATCCATTAAAAACACTTGATTTTAATAGTGTGTGACCCCTGAGTGACCTCCTTATGGTATCTGTGAATACAAACCCTAAATATATTTTCTACCAATATAAAATAGCAATTCATGAAAATAATAAATAAACTTACAACTTTTCATAAAATGCTCTTAATGCCAATAGTGTAGAATCTACTAAGTTTTTACCAAAGATATTATCAACTGCATAAAATTGTTTTAGTATCTTTTTACTTTCATTAAATGACTTTAATTTGGAAATAATGTTGATTCTTTCCAAGATTCTGCTATCAGTTTCATCTGTAGAAATAAGGTCATTGATACTGTCACTGATTAAATTTGGGAGAGCGTATTTTAATTGGTGATAATAATAACAATTATTTTTGTTTTGTGTGGATCAGAATGAATTTTGGTCAAATAAAATATTTATTTTATTTATTTAGTTTTCTTAGTCGAGACTAATTAACTTGTAACAAAGTTTTCCTTAGTCGAAACTAATTAACTTATAACAAAGTTATTAACAGTTATTACCAAGTTATTACAAAGTTTTCCTTAGTCGAAACTAATTAACTTATTGCAAAGTTATTAAACTAAGACAAAGTTATTTTACAAGCAAGTCGAATTTGAGCTTCTTTTATACAATTAATTAATAACGACTTCATTGCAATCTAACATTCTAGCCGCGATATCGCACTTTAATTGCGACGTAACATTCTAACCGCGATGCTAATTTCTAATTATACGAATAAAAAAAATAAAAATGTAATAATAAAAATGTAAATAAATATGAATAAAAATAAAATAAGAAATAAAATATAAGGAATAAATAAATGTAGATATTAATATAAAAATAAAGTAAAATAAAGTAAAAATAGAAATAAAAGATTTGGTTCGGAGTTAGGGTATTTCGACTAACAAATTAACGTTAAATCCTAATTTTGGTAACAATATTTATTCAGTTAAATGGTAAAATGTATTAAATAGAATAAAATAATACAAGCATAAAAAAAATATATAAATTATAAAAATATTTTTTGATTGCTTCTTTTTATCATCACCACTATCATTAACATTATCACTACTAATAACATCACCACTACCACAATCTCTGACATTATCATCATCATCATTGCCATCATTTTTCATTTCATATGCATTGGCATAAATACTGAAGCATTACTGTCAAAATTATATTCAATTAAACTAT